AGCTCATTAGATAATGTACAATTTCAACGCAAACTTCTCCTCCCGATTACATAGAACGTTGTTGTTTTACACCTTTGTGTACATGAGAATGAGATAGGAGCAACGGTCTACCTATAAGTTTCGATTTATTACTAGTTCGTGTGTCTCGTCATGTTTTCCAAAACATGTTGACCTTCGCAATCATTATACGTTTGGTAGGCCGCTCACGGAAGCAAATACAACTCGTACTGAGCACGTGCTTGAAAGCTGTTATCCTTTGTCAAACCATGTTTACATTTTGAGTTCCTCAGAGTATACATTCACGGGCCATCTACAAGAACAAATCCACGATGTTTTACTTTTGCCCTTTTGTGTTTACTCTTCAACTTGTTTCTACCAATCGAATGTTATGCCGCATCTTAAAAAAAAAAAAAAAAAAAGGAGTCCTCTTAAAAAGGCATAGCTTACTCTCAATAGACCTACGCGCAAAACCACTTTAGAGCGCCGTTTTTGATACACACAACTAAAATACCATTTCAACATTTACTTATTTCAAGAAGCAGACATCCACCATAATGTCCCGTGTCTTATTTTAGTGTCTTTTTTTTATGCAAACACGTCGACGACATATCTGAACGGTGCGCTAGACCACGTCAAACACTGAATTTCTCAGCCGTGCGTGACTCGACGTGTCTCCGCCTTCGGCTTGAATGCTCCCCAGTCAATTGTATTTTCCCCTGAACAAACAGAGAAGCTTCAGAAGAAGAAGAAAACCGTGTTTGGGTCCATAACCTCTCAGATATTCTCTTTCTCTTTCCAAATGTAAGGGCATCCTCAGGTCAAAGCTGAGGATGTTTTCTTATTCTTAGTCTGTCAGATGCTAGATTTGTTGCTGTGTAACCGATAGATATCCAGTAAAAAAGAGGAGCTTTTGCTTTCATTAATTTAAGAGACAACAAAATATTACGAAGCTGCCAAAATAAGCCAATCATCGTGTTTGTTTTGCACGGAGCCTCATCTATTTTTTGTTCGCGACAGTGTCCTTTGTCACAGGAGAGACATATCTGGTTTGCATCTTTTGCTAATTCGTAATTATTATAATCATATTTGCCATGTCAGTTTTAAAAGCCATGCACATGTGTCTTAGTGAATTATCAACATGGATATGCTCCAACATGCACCTGTGGACATATGAATTCCTTGTCCCAAAATAGTACAGAGATATAGACGTAATGAATCTACTACATTGTACATGTTTATGTACATGTTTTTTTATCGTATTTCCCTTTGAAAAAACGCAATTTTGAGACAAAACAGAAGTCTCTGAGTTGTTGATACCCTTTATACGGCTTCCGTAGATTGGTAGAGACGTAAAACCGATCATTTTTTTCAGCTTTTCTCTGACATTTCAAAAGGAATTACAGTAACTTGTTATTCTCTAACTAGGGAAGTAAACCAAATCAAACGAACGTCATTATAAATCATCAGCGGCCAATATTTATGGCGGATTGTCGGATTTCTCGTCGGGAATTCGTAGAAGGATTATTTTCTTATAGGTACATCCCACGGGAGGGCAGGCTTTAATTAAATTACCGAGTCAATTTTCTGTGCTTCGTTCTAAGGAGTGTACGGGATGAACGCTACAACTTGATGCTCCCTAGCCATCATTTGCGTATTTTTTGTTTGCCTTAAAAAAACATGAGATCCTGATTTGCTGTATGATACGGATGACAACAATCTCTACGTTCATTTAAAGATGCAATCCCCGTCCTATTTTCGAGTTTCACCTCAAAAATAGATTGTTTTTTTCAATTGCCATTGTCCTATGGCAATATAAATGTTATGCACTTTTGTGTGAGACATTGAACCAAACAAATCCAACGACGCCACGCATGCAGGGCGGGTTATTTGTGTACAAAATGAAAGGCTTTTTTTTCAGAGAGTTGCCGACGCTGAAAACACAAATTGAAAATTCGTTAGGAGAAAAAAAGTATCAATTTTTGGAAGAGCAGGGGGTATCATCTTTAATAGAGTGTTTGTTTCCGGGCAATAAAGTAGCTTTTAAAGCGTTTGGGACCCTTGTAGGAATAAAGTTTGTGTTGTGGTTTAAGAGATTTATGCCAATTGAAAAGCTATGGGTAATCTATGACATAACAAAATTAGATGTTTCAAAATTGTCAAAATGTTACAAATTAAAAAAAAACGTGGTTTATCATTATCGGCAGTTTTGAAAGGGGTGGGTGTGTACGGACGCATAATTGTGTTAAACACATTGCAATTACTAATTGCACAAATTTATCGCTTGTTATGGCGGCAACCAATCAAAATTTTGGGAAACAGTTGTACTTCGAGGGTCAACTAAGTAGATTGGCCCCTGGTGCCCTGGAAACGAGGTTGAATTTGACTGAGTGCTTTTCTAATCCCCAATTCGCGTCACACGTTTCTAACACCTCTATAACTCGTGTATTTACTTAAACTTTTCCGGGCATTGTATCGAGGCCAGCAAGCAAATGTTTGCTAAGTTGGTGTCCACACAACCGCAAAGTTTACAGCAGCGTTTTCGGCATTTGCGTGGCAAGTACATGTAAATCGTTACTTGGTAATTGGTTTATCCATGGAGCTATTCATGATCCAGTGGTTAGATCTACGAACGTGGATCATGGCTTTAGCTTGATCCGTTATGGATCCCACTGAATAAACATTCGAGTCATAAATACACAAATGTCACGTACACGGTACATTCAGATTGCGAGTTTAGAAAGTCAAAGACAATGCTGGCTATGATAAAAGACTACAGACTTTCGTGCGTCACGTATAGATATATGCATCAATCATTACATCAAAATGTGAAAACTATAGAAGTATTTGATTTTTCTTTTAATTTCTTTTTTAGAACTTTTCTGTCGGTGAACCTGGTAGCCGTTTCGTAGACTTGAAATCAAGTTGGTATTTGGCCGCACCGGCGTGGACAGATACAGCATACGGTCCCAGGGTAGTCTTGTCGTGTGCGGCACTTACTTGCGGGGACGCTTTGCGCATCTTCGGCCTCAATATGCGTGCAGGTCAATACCAACCTATGTCGAGGCCAGCAAATGCCTCAACACGATGTACAGCGCCGTGTTAGAGTAAATATTAGAGGTACCTGACAGACAAAACACGGATGTCTAACGACTTGTCCTCAAGTCTAGCCGTTTCGATAACAATTTCCCAAGTATACAATAAGGAATGCACAAATTGGATGAACACTCCTCTAGACTAGAACGCCATGTTCCCATTACAAATGACCTCAAAATACAAAACAAACTCAAATACAATGGGCATAGTAGTTTAAAATAACAAGGAAAATGAGAAGGTTGAATGGAGCGACAACAATCAAAACATTTAGCAATAACATGACAAAGACAATAAATAGACAGGCTGCCGAGCCACAACAATCAATCAATGACAAGTGGATATTTTGAAAGGATATAGTTACAATATTGAACATAACAGAGGCCTGTACAAGAAAATATACTGGGTTAAAGTGGGTCAAAGAAACACCAGGTACATCATTACATGTACTAGGTCTCCATTTCGAGAGGTTCCAGGAAACCTTCATTGCTTGACATCTCTCCGTGAATTTTCTATGCATGCATTCAACCAGACTACGTAATGAGTGGCTCACCCGTCTGGTGCCAGACTAGTCTGAGGCTTAAAGTTCAATGTTCAGTCTATGATGCAAAAACATGAAGAAAATTGTTTCAGTTTTAAACCCAAACCTTGGAAATGGCAAATGAATAACCTGGGACAAAACCATAACCGGGGTTCAATTTGCGAGGCACATGTCACATAATGTGTGCCTAATTTTTATGAGGAAGGAACTCGATGAGTTTTTTTAACGGAAAAAAATGTCCATTTCTGTCTTCCCCAACATTCTGAGTGGGGGTACTAGGGGCACAAACCTCAGGTGGAGGAGTGTTCCTCCTTCCCCTGCCTCCCCCCTGTGACTTCAGGACTTCGTTTATAATTAAAACGATATTTTGGAAAAGTTCGTTGCAGCAAATTAGTCTGTATTGGCCAGATTTTGTTTTGCACCTTTTTTTCAGCAGTCAGGGTGTCGGTATGGAACCCACGGTTACCCTTATATTGGCCAACTGTGGGTTATTGTACTGCCGTCCAGGTTTCTTTGCTCAGGAGATAACTGACTATTATTTAGCGACATCAGTAAAATTCCCAATAAACTTCATCAGCTCAGAACGACAGCAACATGCAGCAGTTAACAAATACAAAAAAACCATGTAGGCCCTAAATCTGGAATGACTTGCATCTAATATTTTTACTTTCCAGTAATCTTCAAAAAAATAAGTTATCAGTTCGTGAAGAATGCTGATAACTAAGCCCTCGTTATTTTGGGAAGATCCCGGTTAAAGGGAATATACATCATTTGCTTTTGCTGTAATTTTCAGAAATGGATGGAATTGGGGGGTTGGAAATATAAAGCAAATATAGTTACACTGACTTTTTGGAGGTTTTGGGTTCGAAAATGCTATAAAAACCAAGAAAAACGATCATTTTCCTGTAGTCTGGTTCCCTGACTCCATATAAGAAGAAACAGAGCAGTTTACATACATTGGGGAATTGTAAGGTCAGGGAACCAGTCTAGCTGGCTCGTACCCGTTCATAGGTTTGTAATCGATTGCAAACAAGTACAATGGTCAATTGGGGCCAGTATTTGAAAAAAAGCCAGTTGTTTCCAACGCTGATCGGCCGATCAGCGTTGGAAATTGATACAAAAATACCACTTTTCTTGAAAATGACAGTATATCAGGTGCCATAATTTTACAGGATGCTTTAGACTGTCATTTACCAACATCCTATTAAGGTATTTCGCAAAAACTTGGTAGTTTTATTTTTCGATGTTTGCAAATGTTGTATATTCCCTTTAAGTGGTTCAGAATCCTAGAAGTAATTTTCCTGCAAGTAACAGTAATACCCCATACAATTGACCCACAATTTATCTCAGAAAATTATTGACGCCTTACCTATCGTGGTGATGACAGTGGTCGCAAAGAACAGAGAGTTTGGGAAGTCCCAAAGATGATGTCCGTAATCGCCTACATCGCTATCATCCACATCGGGCTTGAGCCCATTGTCAATGGAATACACCACCTCGTCCACCAGTGCCACTAACTCAGACGAGTTGATGCAAGAGTTGTTGGCCAGAAACTCCTTCACGTACTCCCGGATCCTCTCCTGGAGGTTCTCTTCGTTCCCACCTTCCAGGAATCGGAAAACCAAGGCTCCGGTGACGATGTAAACGATGTAGATCACCAGCAGCAGCACCAGGCGCTTGACCGAAGCCCCCTGGTGCCGGCGGCTGAAGCCCGTCAGAGAAGACACAGACGAGGTGCTCCGTATGGACGCCGTGGTATCCAGCTGAGCACGAAACATCTTGACTACTGGTCCAGTATTGTTTGAGGACTCACAGCAATATACCCGTGTTTATGTATTCCTTTTGATTTAACGCCTCAGACTTTAATCTGAGGTAGGAATATTATTCTGCGGTTTCTCCTGTTTGTTCTGAGCTCCCTCGAGAAATCTGCTCTATTGCAGCACGAATCCCCGGTTGGTATTTCGGAGTATCATCCTCAGAACTAGTAATTATTGGCAGGATTTTTTCTTCCCCTCACGGCCAAAGTAATATGAAGCGTCTCGCATGTCAGTCGTACAACCACATCCGATATGTCACCGTTCTGCAGGATTTCAATGTTGTCTTCACCCAATTACACACGCCCTTGCCAAAAGCACATAATTCTCAATGTGGCCTCTCACTTACTGACGTTTGACAGTAGAGAATCGAACGGGAAGTGAGTGATGTTCCGCCAGTGTGTACAATCAGGGCACGCCGCACCATCAATTACTGACAACATATCGGAAATCAAACTCGCTCACTTAACTAGATGGTGTCGTATCGATCGATCTGAAGAATAGACCCGGCGGGTTCGATTGCACTGTAGCAGTATAGCGGTGGTACATCCACGATCTCAACAACCACTTGGTGTATGGTGCCATGGCAAATCACATCCCTTGCTTGATATTACGCTCCTTGACACCAAAGATACAGGAGTTTTGGATAGCTGCTTCACCCGTCTGGTCCAAGATCGCTACTCGGAAATAATACACGATTAAGCCAAATTACAAGTGATATTCTGTTACGTCGCGGCCTCAAAAACAGGGCCACAGTGACACTGCCTTATAACCCTGCTCCGATATCGCATGTCACACAAAAGAAAACTCCAGTTGTTGCTTACCGAGCAAATACCATTATGTATGCCGGTCGGAGTGTCTGCTGTATTTCGCTTCGTTGAATACGCATAATACAACGCCCAATATAGCGTGCCAGAGGGTTTGCAATACACGGAGCATCGTATTGTGCCCGATGGTTCAACCACTTAACCGTAGGGACGCGACGCGACCTCCATACGTACGGTATCGCCTCGCAGCGTCATGAGGGCAAAAAAAACCCCTCTTGACTGTGTTGACTGGGAGAGTAACATTAACTGACCTGTTATGATGTATTCACATGACTTACTACATTACTCGCTTCATGTTCTCGTTCATGCCGAATAGGAATTGAAGATAAAACTTAGTGCGGTATGATATATGCTGCACGGGCCTATTTCATCCATGAACCTCCTCTACCAAAGAAAGTGAATGCCTTCTAATAACTGCAATAATTAAGCGCCCCATAGATGGCGCCCTTTCAATTTGTTTAACGAACCAAACGTGCCATGCGCTCGTTTAACTCGCCCGCGTCGACACGGGTAAGGCTAGCCACGACAGCCGGGCTAGCGCTAATGGAACACTCAACCTTGGGCAATCACGATACGTAGCCATTGACAAAACGCCTGTTTCGGATTGGGTTTTAGTTTGAGATTTACTGCTTTTTAGTCAATTGCAAAACTCAAAAAAAGTTTGGCTGAAAATGTAGCCTCAAAAGTTGCAATGAACTCAATAAAATAATGAAATATTTTCAAATCAAATAAATTCAACTTTTAAGTCCACTTCGGATTTCCGCTGTCCGGCCGCCATATTTTGTCCGTTTTTAGGGAATGAACAACGCATGCGTGACTTACTTCCACCAGTGACTCTGCTCCACGATCAGAATCCGTGGTGGCTGAGCAGGGTGAGCCCGGAGAATGACGTACTCGATCGGCACGGGCTGACCCGTGTCGACCCGGGTGAGCTAAACGAACGACCCATACTTCTTACAGACACTGTAACCTGAGCGAAACTCATTCCTCCATGGTTTTATCGACCGTAAGTATATCAAGGAATGAAATGTTCATGTCCCATGTAAGTATTCCCTTCGAGACGTTATCCCAGGCGAACTAGCGCCAATAACCCGGAATCATTTCCTTCCACGGAAAAGACTTAGTTGATGAATGAGGGCAGTTCAACAGTACAGTCGTTTTGGGATTTAAGGGTACGGTGCAGACCTTCAAATCGACTCCCATATACCTCAGTGATTATTAGGCCTACGCGTACTTCCGAAAAATATTAAATACACTCACAATTCTCCAAGTTGTTTAATTAAGACACCAATCAAAATAGGTTGATTCATAATCTTTCCTTTTCCTTTTTCTGTTCAATTTTTGTTAAATTATGCAATGACTTTTGAGAGAAAACTCAATCCAAAGATGATCACCCCGAAAAGTAGTCCTGTGGCCCATCGCCATTTTGAAAAATGACGACTGCACTCCATTGCAAAATAGAGTTAGGTCCCAATTTTGTCCACCCATCTTTTTTTAAAAACCGTAAAGTTCATGGCCCACGGGCATGCAAATTGTGATTTGGTCCTTAATTTTTGTGATCTACACCCTTAACGATAACCCAAATGCTCATCGGGTTGCAACTAAAACAAACAGTGCACTGCAGTGCCAGACTTGCCAACCAGTACGCGAAATGAACCGCATTTTTGCAAGATCGTCTTTCTTAGTAGAGTATGAGACACATGGTTTGAGGGACTGTATGAACGAACAGAAAATCTTACTGTTACATGTAGGTATTTGGGAGGCAATCTGCTGGGAACAGAAAACGTGTTCATCTAAGACTTGCACTCAGTGGCGTAGCCAGGAATTTTTCAGTGGGGGAGCGCTGGGGGGGGGGGGGGGGGGCTGGAGCATTTCATGGGGGGGGGGCGTCATGTAGGGGCGTCAATCGCTTCTCAAAAGTGGGGGGGACATACCTTGATCAGAACTGATGCGAGCGCGAAGCGCGAAGCCCTTACGGCGTAGGGGTTCTGGGCCCGCTTAAGGGCCCCGAAAAAAATTGGATTCTAGATGTTCTGTGGTATCTGAAGCAATTTCTTACCACTTTCCTCCATGCTTTAACTAATATTTTCTTAGCAACAGATAATTATTTGAACATCGTTTTCGAGGTTGGAGTCATTGAATCAGCTATCGGTATTCTGAGCTATAGGCGTGGGTTTGGGGCCCGCTTAAGGGCTCCGAAAAAAATTGGATTCTCGATGCTCTGTGGTGTTATCTGAGGCAATTTCTTACCACTTTAACCAATAATTATCTTAGCACAAAAGATAATAATTTAAACATAATTTTCGAGGTTTTTTCAGCTAAAGGCATAAGAAATTTTTTTGAACAGTGTTTTCAAGGTTGGAGTCATTGAATCAGCTACCAGAATTCTGAGCTATAGGCGTGGGGTTCGGGGCCCGCTTAAGGGCCCCGAGAAATGTTGGATTCTAAATGCTCTGTGGTGCTATCTGAGGCAATTTCTGACCACTTTAACCAATATTTTCTAAGCAAAAGATACATTGTAGTACATAATAGGGCCCTGTAAATGAGACACGAGTTCAAAAATCTGGGGGGGGGGGACATTTGATAGTGTGTCCCCCACCCTTCAAAAAGTGGGGGGGGGGGGCCAGTCCCCCTGTCCCCCCAGGATTGACGCCCATGGCGTCATGTAGATCAATGATAATTTTTTTAGAAACTCAAAATCTCAGTGGGGGGGGGGGGGGCGACTGGGGGGGGGGGCGACAAGGTTTCATGGGGCCCCCCTCTGTCGCCCCCCCCCCCCCCCCCCCCCCCCCCCCCCCCCCCGTGGCTACGCCACTGATTTCAATGAATTTTAATTGGTCTATTATTATTATTTAGCTTATACGAATGGAGGAAAAAGTTTGTGCGTGGCCGATTCGCGTGATATCGCTGACTGTAACTTTGTGACCCACGGACCACCTGTCTATAATACGTGTTCCGTGGTGTGAGCGAGCAGTGCAGTGGGTGTTAATACGCATTTTAGATTATCATTATGCGCTATGTCACGCCGGTTGTCAGCTTACTGGTCCGCGGTCGCCGGTCGAAGGGTCGTTTCTCAGTGGTCATCATGTGGATCATTCGCGACTATTTAGATTTAGATCAATGATATTTTTTTTAGAAACTCAAAATCTCAGTGGGGGGGGGGGGGGGGGGGGACTGGGGGGGGGGGCGACAAGGTTTCATGGGGGCGGTCGCCCCCCCCACGCCCCCCCCCCGGTGGCTACGCCACTGCTTGCACTTTATATACATGTATAAGCACAACCGAATTAATAGAAGAAGCGTTAGATATCGAGTCAATGTTGACAAATAGGTGGATAAAGACTTAGCCCCCCCCCCCCAAAAGGCTCCAGTTTCTGGTTGGCGCGCGCGTCGCCGTAGCCATGCGCGTCGGCAAAAAAAGGTGGTTTTTTTTTAATGTAAGATGATGTCTAAAAACCGCCTAACTCACTGGTTTGAATGGAATCCTGCTGCTGCACAATTTTAACGTGTTTTTAGATGGGGTTACGATCGAGTATCTGGAAGCCAGACTGAGGGAGCGATGGTCGTGTATCTGGAACCTGTAAACGCTAATGCTAATCCATGTTAACGTTGATTTGCGTTTAAATGGTGACATTCTTTGAACGGATTGAGCAATTTCGGTATGTTGTTTTCATCAAACAGTAGCTGATGAAATTGGCTTTTCAGTCATTATTATTTTGGGTGCTACAAATCTTTTAAATCTGAAATATATTTTTTGGGGGTTTGGGTTCCGCTTTTTTGACTCACCCTGTACGTCGGTGAAGGGCAAAAACCTAATATTGATTTACATCACCCTGACGCAAATCCATCTTATGAATGATTGTCGGTGATGTTTGACATAAAATGTTTGCGTACAATCTTTGATACTATTTCAGTCGCGTATGAGATGCCCTCTTTGTGTTTATTACCAGTGGCGTAGCCAGGAATTTTTCAGGGGGGGGGGGGCGCTGGGGGGGGGGGGGGGGCTGGAACATTTCATGGGGGGGCGTCATGTAGATCAATGATACTTTTTTTAGAAACTCAAAATCTCAGTGGGGGCGACTGGGGAGGGCGACAAGGTTTCATTGGGGGGGGGGGGCTGTCGCCCCCCCCCCCCCCCCACCCCCCCCCCCCCCGTGGCTACGCAACTGTTTATTACGTAGCACAGGTAACACTGGATTGGGACTCGAACCTGCGGCCCGCCGGAGACACCATGCGCGGTTACAGGGGGGGGGGGAATTGTTTTGTCTAGCCCCTCCCCCCCCCCAAAAAAAAAGAGTCCCTAAAAATATAGAAATGGCAGTAGCAAATGTTAGGTGACGTCACATGCGAACGGTTTCCCCCTACCAATAGTCGTGAGAAAGGGGCATTTGTACACTATTAGGTTATAAAGTGTGCATGATTGTTGGATGTTGTCAGCCCTCCACATTAAACAATTTGGTACGAGCCCCCCCCCCCCCCCCCCCCTATTGATTTTCGGAGGCCTAAGTGTCCGGAGAATACAGTATGCCTCCCTGCACAAAAATATGGATCCACCCCTGCTAGCCTCTAGGCTCTAGAACCGCGCCCGCGGAGCACCATGCCCTAAGTGTCAATGGTTAGCTACCAATCCTTGAATGAACACAAGATCCATGAAAATCTGATTTCAAAATTCAGTGTTTGTGAATCGATTGCGCTACGTGTAAAATTGTGCAAGTCCATCTACACTACCATTTTGATAAGACGCCCTCTCGCTACAATGTTCCCCTTCGTTGACCTGTCCCTCATTTGATTAGTAGCGCCATCATGCGGCAGAAAACGGACATTGATGATAACCGATCTTTCACGCACACACAAAGGCTACCAAACCTGCATTTCTTTAGAGAAAACTTGGGCCAACTGACGGGAAAGCTTTTCATAACGACTTAAAAATTGATAGTAGAGATTTATGGATAATGGTGTTTAAACACTATATATCAATTAAGTTGATCGTTGAGTAAAATATATACCACCGTTCTTCGGTAGGGTTGTCAGGGCGAATTTAGCTCCGTGGGTCACGGTCAAGTCTCCATATGCGGAAACTTCCGCGAGAGGGCGCACCCTAAGCAGTCTGGTAGGGGACTGTGTTTATGAACCTTCACGAACCCACTCCAGCTTCATTTCATGTCCTTGTTCAGTGGGAACTTAGTAAGCCTAAGTGTTGGTGTCCAACGCTCGTTGAGTTGGCGTCCTACGTGCAACTATGCACATTGGCAAGACGAAATAGTATATTGCGTCGTTCATGCTGACGTCACCAGAAACCATCAGTAGTTGGAAATAAACCTACCCCTGAGAAGAATAGATTGATCGATTTTGCGAAAAACCAACACAAGGCGATATTAGTTGAGACCGAACTGTAAGAATTGAACCAC